TAGATATTTATGCTCGTTTGTTAGATTTGTATGTTGTCTGTTACTATAAAAAAAAATAATAATACCCTAGTCATTCAATGGCCACGATTATCGTTAGAGGAAACAAACTAACTTAAATACTGAGAGCCAATATATACAAGAAAAATATCGTAACTCAAAAAGAGGTAATTTTTTAGTGGTAGTACAAGTGTATTTTTAAAGTTTTGTGTTTTCGCTTAAGTGTTTGAGAAACGAAAGACAATATTGATGGACTATGACAGTTTTTATTGCCGACAACTGTAATGGCGTGTACTCAATACACGAGTAAAAAAAAAAGTAAATTTCCATTTGTTTCTCCTGTAAAATTATCTTTTGTTGAGTTGTGTCACTTTTCTTGTGGGTGTGTGATATGCCGTATGTTTTTTTCAGCCTTATTGTTGGCATTCGTATAGTGAATGAATACAAACTAAGGTTAATTATTATTTAAGGGGATCGTTTTATCATAAAATACCTTCATACAGAAATTTTGTACTTGTTTTACCTTACACCAAAAAGTGGGTGATTTAAGCCTTATTTCGCCTTAATTAAATAATAATCAAATTATATCAAACCATTAACTACACTTTTTATTATTTTTTGGCATTGGTATAAAAGTTTGCTTTTGACCTGAATATGTTTATAATAATTAAGAATAATTATTCGGAGATCGTGAGATGCGGTCTGGTATGATGTAGGTTTCAGAAAAACATTTTCTTTATCGTGCCAACGTTTCGATCTTTATTGAGATCATCTTCAGAGCTCAAAGTTGGAGCTCTCGCTCTGAGAGCCCAAGCTCAAGAGAGAATGGGCACTCTCAACACGACACGCAAGAATGAAGGACAATTGCACAGAGGACAAACACTTTGAGCCCTGAAGATGATCTCAATAAAGATCGAAACGTTGGCACGATAAAGAAAATGTTTTTCTGAAACCTACATCACATCAGACGGCATCTCACGATTTCTGAATAATTATCGACCACACATAATTAAGAATTATATAATAATTAAATAAAAAACATGTATTGTTTATATACAAACTGAGTTGAAGACAAAGGCTTAAATTATAAATCATCCCACATGTGGTGACGATGATGTAGTACGGAGTCCATACTGTTTGAATTATTTTGAGTTTTGAGTTATATTGTAAAAGAGACATAATTAGTAAAAGTAATGTGAGTGAATTCCTGTTGTACAGGAGAGCTTAATATCCAACAACCCGTTGAGCATCGCGGAAAAGATTAAACTGTTTAAATTTAATATTAATCTCAAATGCATCTCAAAACGCATGTGTGTTTTGATATGATCTAACTGATGGATCGTTGGCAGTTTCCTTATGCTTTTTGAAGCATGATGTTAATCACCGAACATAAAAAATCATGAAATAATATGGTTTGTAATAAAGAAAATAACACATAGTACAGAACCGACGTTAAGTTTCAAAGAATTGAATAAAGTTTCAATAGAAACGTCCTGTACTTAAATTTTACTACCCTTGGGCGTTAACAGAAGGAAACGAGACACCGGGCTGGGCTTTTCGTTTAATCACCCCCTTTTTTTAAATTGGATAAAAGCAGTCTGGCCGGAATCAACGCAGGGCGGAGGAGGATGTCCAACCCGACCGGCAGAATTTATCATACCGAAAATAGATGACGGCCGAGAATACTTCACGGAAGTGACTTGAACAAAAACTTGAGGGTCAGAAACTGTTAACGCAAAACCTAAGATTTTACGTTGAAATTTATTTGAACGCTATGTTCCCTAGGAGAAGAAATGATACTTTTTAATGTATTTGGGTTGTTCATGGCGCTGAATGTTAAATTTGTTCTCTAACGGTATTGGTGATCTCGACATGACTTGACATTTTCGAAGCTACTAACTGTATAGGTAAAACTGGACTGTAGCCTATCTTACCAATCATCGACAGATTCACGTTATGTACATTATTTCCAGAGACCATTTGTTCGGATTGAAAAAAATGAACCTTTCAAAACGTTTCCTGCAGTGAGAAGACGATTATATCTAAGGAATTTACTTGATATATTGGAACCAATTTTATAAATGTTGTTAGCTTTCGTTGTTTTCTTCAACACCCAACTCTTCCGATTGGCATTTCGAAGGGTACTCTTCCCCTGCAGAAATCTGTTGATTCAAGGGGCCGCTACAGAAAGTGCGATTCTATACGTGATACTTTCAATTTAAAATGTTACTTTTTTACCTTTTTACTTTTTCTTCCAGAATAAAACTTTCGATTTGGCTATGTCTTACATAGTCATTGAAAGTGATCGATTTGATAGACGCAACATCAGAAGAATTTATAGTGGAAAAGTAGGTATTGGATGAGAATTGCTACAAATCATAATACTGAAGTCGATTCAAAGGTTACGATTCGAACTCACGATTCGAACTCTCGGGTATCTTCTTAAGATTCGAATGATACATTAGCCTGCAGAATGAATGACCGATTTCCGATGTATCTGCAGAAATCTGTTGAAATTAATGTTCGCTTACAGCGTGATTCCATTCCTACGATACTTTTAACGAGAAATGCTTTTTTTTTTTTTTTTTAGTAAACATTCATTAAAAGTTTCGTTAAAGTTGAAAGTAAATTTTTTTAATGATGTAGTCTTAGAAGAGCGGTAAATATTATGGATGTAACATTAGGTATCGTATTAAAATGCCTACGAGATGACTCGAAATGCCAGGGCTCGCATCCGATTATGCCCGGGTAGGTGGAACGACTTCCGCCGCAGCTATGGAATGTGCGATAACGAGGATTGGAAGAAGACAAAGGTGGTCGTGACGGCCCAGGGACCGGACATACCCAAGTGGAGGAATGCGGCGTTGCCGGCTCACACCCTGGCACATCCCCAGATTACCGGAAATAGACGCCCCTATTATTCGAGGGAATATATTAGGAGAGGTTCTTCCTGGTCGACTTGAGATGTATATAGTCTGGTGGCGGGGAGAATCAAGGTTGGATCGGGTATAACGAGCCGGAAGTCACTTGTCGCTTCCTATCATTCGATACCGTTATTCGCAGCCCCCGGACACTCTTGTCTCACTCGATCCTTTCGCTCAAAAACAAACATAACAAAGACGTCAGTACTTGTCGAGAGTGTGATAAACGGGGCTATTTATAATTAAAAACGGAAGGATAGTTAATAAGGAAAACATGTCCAAATGGTTTTATATCATGTTGAGTGTATCGAGAAACGGAAGAAATCAAGGGAAAAGGAGCATCGGGTACATGTCCAAGGTGTGTTTCATGCATCTCCGTGCTCCCGAGGTGTAGGTAACTGTGCCACGGAGTTAACACTAAAACGTTACATAACGTCAACAGGGCTGCCTTTCTCCCGCCCTCGGCTCGTAACTTCTGAGTGACATAATCGTTATAGAACAGGCTAAAACAATTCCCAGTTGAATAATGCCCAGATGTAACATGTCCCCGATTCCCTCCCACCAATCCGATAAATGGGTCATTTCGCCTCGAAATAAATAAGTAGGGGCGCCCGATGAGGGAAGGGCTCATGTAACGGATCACTACTTCCGCATTTATGCAACCATTGTTTAATTGAATCTCTTGAGAGGACGATCGGCCCATTGACCGAGTGTCTTCTACCTTTTGAAAGAAAGAAAAAATTATATCAACTCTGATTTCAAAAATATGTACTAATGAAATATATTTCCTATTAAACTCAAGATTTCCTGCTATAGTTCAGATTGTTGTACGGTCCTATAGAAACCCAATCTCGATGTCGGTCGGCACAAGATTCTATCTGGAAAAAAAATCTTTCGAGAACTTGCCTAGAATCTATCCTAGAAAACTTCTATTTTGAATTTATAAATACACGTTCATTTTTTCTGTTTGTAATTCTTCAAAAATGCATCTGGCTTTACAAATGAACCGGGCCAAAATGAGCTTTTGCAATTTCCATTAGAACAGCAACACTAGTTAAGGTGGCTATGGAAAACTCGAGACGAAAGAAAAAAAGACGTTAAAATTTTATTTTTCATTTCTTTATGTCATAAAGGCAATAGTTTTGACTCCTTGCAAGCAAGACCAAGAATGACGAGTCAGTTCTCTTCCGCTTATCCGTCTCTGGGAAAAACTGGATTTCCATGAACTGGAGTTGTCGGAACAAGTTCGGCTCGAGTCCAACTAAGAGAATAATGTGTTGAAAAGTTTTTTTTTGTCCCGAACAGAAGAGATTTTTGGAAGAGATAATAAAGGTAGGCTGAGTATATCGTTTCACTTTTTGTAAATAAAACCGTTCTACTCACAAATCTGTGGGAAGAACCATTATTTACAAAAGTCAGCTTTTTGGTTTCTTCCTCGGTGCCATACCAGAAGTAGCAACAGGTATCCAGAGTGCGCGCGCACGATCCCATCACTTCCCTGTTCCCTCAAGGCGTTAAACCCCGACAAAATTGGATATCCCGGATTTTCGGATGGACGGAAGCGAGACTGTGCGAAGCCAAATTCCAAATAAAATACACCCGATTTCCTCAGGATTTTTTTTTTTTGACGAGCGGGCGCTTTTTCTCCGCCCAGAGAGCCGATTATTCCCCCGAGAACAATGGGCGGACAATCTCGGGCGGAAGCACGCATTTGACGACCTCAAACGGAAGTACATTCGATTCTTAAGAGTCGCAATTATTTGTACTTTCAAAGCAGGCCCGAATTCCAAGAGGAGGAGATTACGAGAGTTGTAAAACCTGAAAAACCCCAATAACGAGGGAGTCCCGGGCGAGGGCGAGGATCAACAGGTAGAGGGTAACAGGTAAGGCCCACTGGCGCACCTGCACCCTTCGCCCCCTTCCGTGTAAACACCCCTCGGCACGAAGAAAAACTACCCAATCACACTAAACGCTCATGGCCTTTTAAAAATGACAACTTAACAAAAAATCACACAAGTTTTACATTATAAATAGGAAAAAAAAACTTTTATCAATAAAAATATAAAAAAAAGTCACACATACCGGCTTTCCTGATGGGAAGACTGAAGAGGTGAAAATACATCCGGCGATTTAATCCAAGTATTTATCGAAAAATAAACAAAATAAAATAAAAAAATTCAAAAATCCTCCAGTCCGGGAGTGAAAGGTTGAATCGTTGAATAGGATTCACTTGCACTTAAACACTAGCCTCGGGTTCCACTATGTTTTTCCAATATCACAGAGGTAGCACAGAGACGAGACATTGTCGGTCCGGCGGAGGAAGCACAAGAGACGGGATGTTGGATGGAGCGTACGGACGAATGGAATGAGAGGCGGAACAGCTGAAGTGAGTCGAACAGCCGAATGGGAAGAGATAAGCTGGTCGGCGGTCCTCTCGGCGGAGCGCTAGCGTCGACCCGGCTCCTAATAGCGGATGTACACCCCCACTACGGACTCCCGCTAACCAGGAAGCTACCAAATAGGAATCAGGGTGTACTCTACACTGTACATGCGGTACAGTAACGTCAAAAACCGCTCTCCTCCTCCCCATTACACCCTATCATCCTCTTATCTACTTTTCTCGTCTTTATTATTTCACCGCCCCCACTCGGATTCCTCTGCCTTCCCACACGATTTTGTTTACCTAGTTTGCTCATTTTCCTTTTCCTCTTCGGCCTTTTTATCTCGATGCCCAGTTTTCCTTTTATCTCAGCGGGATAACAAACAGATCTGTTTGAAAAGGCCTTTTTATATTATAGAAAACCATTTTAAAAACCCCAGACAAAATTGCGGAATCATTCTCTAACTCGAATCCTATCCATGCTACCTCCAACATCCAAGAATACCTTGAGCTTATCGAAGACTGTGCAAAAAGTGGATGGCACGACTGAATGAAGAAAAAGTACTCACTGTACGTTCACATTGTAAAAACGGTCTTGCCCTCCACTATCAATACATGAACAACAAAAAGATACAGCTACCCAATCAAACATATTAAAAAAAATAAACTGTCGTTCTACGCTTCAAACCAACAATCCACAATGACCTCCAAATCCCATTTGTATTAGTCGGGGTGTAATATACTATGCCCTTTAAGAGTTATCGTATCCAATCCCATTTGTAATTGGCATTATAAATCCAGATTTAAAAAGTTCCACAAAAATTCGAACATTCACCCCAATCCACTTGTTCTAATAATTTTTGTTCCGACATTCCTGGAAATCCCACATATCATTGAACCGTTTGTGGCCGAGAGATCTCTTGAGAGATTGACTCAATGTGAGGGAGTGTCACTGCTGGGCGACTTTTTAAAAAATAATGGGTAACATGCTAAATTGTCGCTATGTCTGTAATCTCATTTGCTTGTTGAGTCTAAAAATAGCAGTTGTAAAAATCATAATAAATAACACAAAATCTTATCGAACAGATGTCAGATGTGAAAATTGCTGGTGTTACTTCAACCGAGACCCTAACAAAATCTTCATTAATTATTTTATAGCTAATGATCCTCACCATTTTATGTCCATGTATGCTGATATACAACGTCACGTACACTATAGGAAAATGAACCAACGATAATTTTCAGTGCAAGCTCAAAATATGAGCAATCAAACTTTAGGAAAATACAACTCGGTCTTTCAAGGAGAAATACTTCAACGCTTGTGCCAAAACTTACAAAAAAATCCTCATAAGATCGGATAGCTAAGCAGCTTAAAGCATTAGCATGTAAAAAAATCAAATCAAAATTAGTCAGTGAGCGTATCCAAAATTTCCAAAACCTGGGGAAACAGCCTTTTGTTATCTGTAGTACCGGGGAACAGAGAAATTTTGGGTAATGAAAAGGCAAACTGGTCAGAGGAGGATCTGCAATATGCCCTGTACCTTGGGATTTAAAAAAAAAAAGAGATAAAATGATCCGGATTTCAGCCATTATAGCTCATCATCAGGTTGTAGGAGTTACAAACAGATCTCTCGACATGAACTGTAATAGTGAACCCGTGAAGTTCCAATAGGAAGCTGATTTTTAATGCTGATTTTGAACATGAGAAAAATGTGAATTACAAACAACAACTATACTACAGAAATACATAATACAATTAAATATTATCCTAATAAATTCTTATTCAGAAATCGTGAGATGCGGTCTGGTGTGATGTAGGTTTCAGAAATGTTTTTCTGAAACCTACATCACACCAGACCGCATCTCACGATTTCTGAATAATTATCGATTGACTGTCACTAATCACCACTAATAAATACTGTAAGAAAATAATTTTAAATTAGAGATTAATTTGTATGTCAAATATAATTTATGTACATTTTTAAAATAAATCAAAATCTTTATTATTTATGCATTTATCACCATGTTTAATTGTACATTTTTTATTTCGAGTTTTTCAAGTCAATCTAGCTCCCTCCCTTTGCTGGAACATTTATTTTTAAATTGAAATTGAAATTGTGTTTTGTTTTAATTAAACGGTCCTTCAATTCAGAAAATTTGTTCGATTTAGGCAAGTGTCCTTTAACTCTCGTTTTAATTTCTCTGCCGCTATGTCTTATATATTTAATTACACAATCGTTACAATTAAGTTGGAAAAGCTAAAAGGAAAGCTAAAAGGAAAAAGATAAAAGCTACTCTGAAACCTTATCGTTTTACGAATTTTACCTACTTTTTCTGATAATTCACCAGTACATAGCAGGAAACGAAAACCTAATGATTCATTTTTGGTGGGGTGGCTGAGTCCGATAGTTGCTCCATTTATGTTAATGTTTTAAAATTCTTTTTACTAGCAACCTTTCGATAAATATTTCTTTATTTCCAGTTTTTTAGCTGAGGTTTTAATGGTTTGTAGTTCTTTTTTGTCATTAGCAGATGTTAATAGTAGTTTCAACATATGGTCCATGAGCCAAATGAATCGAGCAGTTTTTTGGGTCCATGGGTGAGAAGAATCTGCTAGAATCATAGCATCATGTAGTTGTGAGTTTTCTATTTATGTCTATTTCCCTTAGGTTGCTTGTTATAAAAGTTTTACGTGTAACAAGTTTAAACAACTATATTTATTTATTTCCAATGTAAACTCTACACTAGGGTGTTAATATCTAATAAAATGAATTTTTTTAGATACTCGAACCTCCTTTACCTAGAGCTGCATCAAGACAAACGACTCATCCGAAATTTCCATACATCATTTAAAAGGATAGAATTGAACATTAGGCACATCCCAAAATCATTCTTCAAGCTACGGAAATTCTACGGCTCTCCTAACTCCTACCCAAGCCACTGCTAATATCCAGGATCATCTTGAGCTCCTTGAAGAATGGTGCAAATCGTGGAAGATGAAAGTAAACGAGAACAAATGCGCCGAACTTACATTCACGTTAAATAAAAGCCTTGCCGACGTCTTTACGTACACAGTAAAGAACTACCGTCATCCACACAAATAATGTTAGGCTGTACTTAGACAGTAGACAGACGTGCGAATCCTTGCACAGGAATCGAGCTACAGGAACTAAATTTGGACAACGTTATAGACTTACAGGATCGAAATCTGGCATGACATTAAAGAACAAATTCTGTACAAAATCTACCTATTTGGACATACTGGGTTTGTAAGATATTCACCAATCTAACATCCAACGAATCCAAGCATTCCAATCAAAATTCTTCAGAAGAATTATCCAAACTCAGTATCCACAATGACCTTAACATTCCCTTCGCCAAAGAATCCGTTCCTCCCATCCCAAGTTTCACTCCAATCCTAACCCTACTGCCCACGTCCTCCCCACTAACTCCTATAACAATCTTGAGTACCAGCTAGAGATGGCTCACGTGCTGATCACAAACTGTGATGAACCACACAGTTTTGAATTTAATATTTACAACCACACAGTAATTTGACAAGTGAACCTCCCTTTGCCCCTCCAACCACTTCCAAACGCTCTTCGTTCTCCTGATTCATCTCCCCAGGTGGCCCGGAGTTCACCTTTCTGCGGCCTTCTCGCCCGTTCATGTTGCAACGCTCCGCGATCCCATTTCCCAGCTTCAGCATTACTCTAGCTTTTATTTATTTATTTACAGGTACACGCAGTTACAAGAAATTACAATGTCCACAGATGAGCACTGTGATTGTTAACATTTTTAATTTTTGTTTTATTCACTCGTTCACAAGAAAACGTCATACAATTCCAGAGTTCTTAATTATTATGTGAACGAAATAACGAACGTTTTAACCTTCTTCGTTTAATTCTTCATTTTTATTGATTTCATCCTTTTCATCCTTCATTCTTCTTTGTTTTATTATAAAACAACCCTGTAATTCAGACAATCAATCTTTAGGATTGGCCCTTGCCCTAACGCGTCGAAGTTTACCCTTGGAATTGTACGTAAGGTAAATTTGGTGAGCTTAAGGGTTGAACCACGAAAAAGAGCTTATTCATTTCACTCAGTGAGCGGTTTTGACCCGATGCTTAAAAAGAGCGGTTTTCCCCATGTCTAGTTTGAAGTACCTCGGCGTTATCTTCGTTCACATGTTGAAAAGATCCGTAGAAAGAACAAAATCACAACAAGTCTCTCCCGAGCTGCCAAAATTTACTGTGGTTTTGGTCATAAGACGCCCAATATCTTGAGCATAAGAGCATATTTTCACCAATGCTGCTTTATGCCAATGCCGGTTTTGCACCCTCTCTGAAAATAGAGAAAAATAGAAAAAAAATCGAGCTGGTTCAGAGGCCGTTTCTCCTGAGGTTTATCAAAAGTACCAAACGATCTCATACAGCCAGGATGCGTTTGGCAGGTTTGAACAAATTTTTCTTTGAGTGCAGGATCCTAGAATAGAGTTGTAGGTTTTATCCTCTCGAAAATCAAGGTGATTTTTTCTTCGGGCATTCGCTTTGCAATTTCTATTAGAAGTTAAATGTAAACACAGTCGGTGTACATATATTATATAGTTTATATAAGCAAAGGGGTCAAATAGTGCTTGCAGTACAGCATGAACATCACAAAGAAAGGCATATAGATTGATGGGCGAAATTTCTCCTGTCATGTTCAACAATGGACGAGATCTTGAGGGTAATCGAGTCTTGAATGCGAGCCTGATTTCCTTTTCCTATCGTTGTCCTTGAATTTTCTATGATAATTATAATTGAGGAAGTGTTGTAAAGTGGACTGACCCAGGGTAAATAGACCTTTTGGCATGTTTATCACGTTATCAATAAATTAGCGTTGATCAATTTTCGTAACTAATTAGGTTTCGTGGTCCGATTGACCAAATAAACTCTTTTCAATTAATTATTCTTTAATTAAGGTTTTCGTTGAGATAAAGGAGTCAGTGTCACGAGCGGGATTCGAACCCACGACCTTCGGCTAAATACGCCGCTACTCAACCACTTGAGCTATCGTGACTTCGATC